GTAAGTCTAACACAGGAATCTTCTGTCCTGATTCTCCATGGACAGGGCTCTGTTGGGCATGATTTTAAAGATTTTATTTATTTGACAAAGAGAGAGAGTGAGAGCAAGCACAAGCATGGGGAGCAGCAAGCAGAGGGAGAGGGAGAAACAGACTCCTGGCTGAGCAAGGGCTCGATGTGGAACTCAATTCCAGGACCCTGGGATCATGACCTGAGCTAAAGGCAGACCCTTAACGACTGAGCCACCCAGGCGCCCCTGGGTATGATTTTAAATGAAATCCAAGCACCTTCTCTCCTTGTTTAGTTTAAGTGCAGCTACCAGGAATGCAGAGCAGCATTTAAGGTATAAAGTACTCTATTCTCAAGGCAATCTCACCATATGCCAAGGTTCTCCTTACAGGTGAGGCAGACAAGCCCAGGGTAGGACTAGAATGCAGGGTTCATAGGCTCTCTGCCCTAGCCCCATGACAACCCCTTGTGCCAAAGCCTGGGTTTTGCAGCAAAGCTCAGTTCAGGCCAGGGAAGCCTGGGTCCACCAAGAATCCTAAGCAATCTATTAGACCTCCTGAAACGGACAGTCCTGCTGCTTTAATCATTAATTTACCAGAGAAATAACAGAATGATACTATTCCTTGGGTGAGCTAACAATAACCGTGGCAGGTAAGTTGCCTGCTATTCACGCACACTAAGAATAGAAGTGAATCTGTTAAACTGATAAAGGACACGAAGCCAATTATTTTTTTTTTAATTTTTAAAAGATTTTATTTATTTGAGATAGAGAGACTGAGACAGAGAGAGCGAGTATGAGCAGGGGGAGGGGCAGAGGGTGAAGGAGAAGCAGACTCCCCACTGAGCAGGGAGCCAGATGCAGGGCTTGATCTCAGGACCCTGAGCCGAAGGCAGACACTTAACAGACTGAGCCACCCAGGCGCCCCTGAAGCCAATTATTAAAGTATTGCCTCTCTACTCTAAATTCACCCATCAAAACATGCTTTCTGATAATAGACACAATTTTTAAGTATCTCTCCTTCAAAGTGACACAATGTTATATTTTCTCAGGAGAAGACACTGGAGGGACATTGAAGAAAGTGCCTCTCTTGTTATTTCTGGTTCTCAGAGGTGTGTGTGTGTGAGGATATCCTCAGTGCTCTGCCCCAAGCATGAGCCAAGAACAACTCATTGAATGTACAATCCTGGTATGGCCTGCTGATTGGCTTTCTATGACTTTCTTCCCAGAGACATCTTGTGCTCCAAACCACCTGCCCACTGATTCTCTCTGCTTGCTTTCTTTACTGCCCCCCACCAGCCCCCTGCCCAACAGGTTTATCATCTGTAGTTCTGCCAGTGCTGTAGCCCTCCCAACACCAAAGCCCTTCTAATCCTGCGTGCAGGACATTTTTGGCTCCAGGCCTCCACCTCCACCAGCATCCCTATTCCTACTACATGCCCACACACTAACCACTAGTTGTCGCTTGTCTACACTGATGTGTTCCAAAGTGTTACTTCCTGCTCACCCTGCAACTGTAGCCCAGCTCTGGTTCTGCAAACCAGCTTTGTGCCCACAAACCAGCAAATTTCTCTGCCATCCAATAGGTTCTCCTATACTTTCTCCAGTGAGGTGTGAACTCCAGGCTTTGAGAGGGCCACCCCCACTCCAAATTTTTCTATCTTTGAGTACTCTCTCTCAGCCCCAGAATAACATACACAGTTTTCTCATATACTATATATTATACAATTGTCATAGTTTAACTTGATGTTAAACTTCCCCTGTCCACTGTATACTTTCTATCTCTTGACTGGACCAGTGTGCAATAGAACACAACATCTCCATGAAATGCCACTCTTAGAATTACTGAAACCTTTCTCTTTCAGAGCTGCATCAATTAAGGACGTCCACTATCACCTAGAGAGAGCAGGAAGGGGAGGGGGGAAAGGATAAAAAAATCATTTGAAAGGAAAAAAAAATAAAACTGGCATTATTTGCAGATGTTACGATTCTGTACATTAGATCGTTAGAGGTATTTACAGACAAGTTACTAGAATCAACAAAAGGGTTTAGATGTTTATAGCATAAATAAATCAACATACAAACACCAACCATATTCTACTTACCAGGAAAAAAAATTAGAAAATGAAAAGTTCAAAGATGGTATTTGCAAAATACGAAGTATCGGGATAAAAATGTCCTCTTGTGGAAAACATACAAAATGTTATTGGAATATTAAATAAGTTATCTTATTAAAAAGAGAGAACAAAAAACAAACACTCAATATTGAAAAGACGTCAAATCTAAGAGTTCAACACAATCTTAATTAAAATCTCAAACAAGCTTTTGGTTGAAATTCTAATGAACTGATCATCTAAATGGAGTCAAAACAGGCTAAAAATAACAAAACACCTTCAAAGAACAAAGTAGAATGGACTGGCCTTATCCAAATAACAGGATTGACTTCATATCTGTAGCAATTAATACTGATATGTGGTATTTCAAATAAATAAAAAGAGCCATGGTATTTACTAGAGTGTATAGAAACTAGTCCATATATACATAGACACTTGATTTATGACACGTGTTGCTGTAAATAAGTTGGAAAAGAGCAGACTTATCAAATGTGGTTTACTGAGACAATCAGATATCCAAAGGGGGGGCAGGAAACCAGAACCCTACTCAACACCACACACAAACATCACTTACAGGTGGACTAAGACCCGTGAAAGGCAAAACCATAAATATTTTAGAAGACAATATAGGAAATAGAAAATATTTTCATGACCTTAATGCAGGGACAGATTTCATAAAACAGGAAATCACTAACCATAGGAAAAGAATGGTAAATTTGACTGCACTATAATTAAGATCTGTTCACAAAGCACAGCACGAAGCACGTGAAAATACAAGCAACAGAGCAAGGGACTCTTGGCCACACATATAATGACCAATGCACTGGTATTTAAAACATATGAAGAACTCATTAAATCAGTAAGTACAACACTGAAAATAGAATAGAAAAATGGGCAAAAGATTTGAATTTGAACAGTCCTTTCACAGAAGAGAAAATCCAAAAGGCTCGTAAATATGAGAATATGCAAAAGCGTAATAGTAAGAGTAAAAAAAAGTAAATTCTGACAATCCTTGGTGTAGGTGAAGAAGTGTAGCAGCAGGAACTCTCTGTGCTACTGGTGAGACTGTAAATTGGCACAACTACTACAGAAATCAATTTGGCATCATCTAGAAAAGTTGAGGGTATTCATACCCCAGTGATTCTATTTTTGGAGGTAGACCCAAGAGACTTTTACACATGTATTCCATGGGAAATGTCCAAGAATGTTCACTGCAGCATTGTTAACACTAATAGTCCCAAACTAGAAACAACCATAGTGTCCATCCACTGTAGAATTGGATGTTCAATCAATTCATGATTGCTTCACTAAAATTATATACTGGAATGCTAGTGAACAATGGAGACAAAGAATCTATAGCTACTCTGAAAAACATGGATGAATCTCTCAAATGAGTGATACAAGTGAGAGAAGCAAGCCATCAGAGGAAGCATGCAGTATGATTTATTTATATTAATTCATATAAATGGTATTATTTAGGGATGTGTACACAAGTGGTAAAGCTATAAAGAAAAACTCTGAAATACAATGTCAGGATAATGACTATATCTCTAAGAAAGGGTGTGGGTTGTGATTGGGAGGAACACAGTGTCTGTATTCTGGAAAGCTGGCAATGCTCTATTTCTTGACCTGGGTCCTAGTTACATGGGTGTTTGTTTTTACAAATTATCTAAACCTGGCAGATATGTTTTATGCACTCCTCTATACCTCAGATTTTAAATATGGCTTCCTGCAAAAAAATGTAATGGAAGGAAAATATGTGAAGTAAAAATTTTGATGAGGTTTAGAGTATTAGGGATGAAAAACTTTTTCTTTCTATCAAGTGTTCTGCAAGTATACGTTATCACTAAAAAGGGGGGAGTGGGGATTATTTAAACTATATGCGCCCCATAATCTAGTCATTACCCTAAACCTTTCCCTTGCTAGATATTTCACCCTCTATTTATATCATTTCCCAAATCACAGATGACAGACAAGTCGGAAGATCATCATCATCAATACAATCATTAGGCATCATAGGCCAAATCCATTACAGTGAGATTGGGTCACCACACTGAAATGCAAGCCGGCACACCAGGACTATTGAACACGGTCATATGTGTATTTTTCTCAGCAGAGTCCATAACAGTGACTTAGGGCTTAATCTTATCACATTTAACTGGTACTCCTGTCCAGAGACCCCCATGTGCTGGAGAATCTAGAATTAGCTAAGGAATGCCGTGGGACTGGACGTGAAATTTACCATGGTGTAATGGCAAAGAGCTGGTTTAGGTTGTGCACCGTCTTAGAAGAACCCAGGGGTGGGGTGGGTTTTCCAGGATTCAATATAAATTGTTTCATCTTCCAGGCTTTGCACTTCTAGGCTGAACAGTGGTAATCTGTTTTGGCCCCACCTCTTACTCATTCTAATTTCTGAATCAGCAGGAAATAAATAAATAAATAAATAAATAAATAAATAAATAAATAAAAAACAAATTTTCCTGAGGACCTTGCTCAAGACAGTTCTGGATATGGAAGTTGTCCAGAAAAAAAAATCATTTTCAGCATAATTTGCTAGCATTATGGTAGTTTAATGTTGACACATAGTGTATTGTCCCAGGAATTTTCTCTCACTGGATTGATAAATCCAGCCAGGCAGCCATCCAGTAAACAATTGTTTACAAAAATCACCATGCTTACCACTGGGAGGGGGTGAGGGTGTTTATTTTGGTATATACAGTGATGTACAGATTTAAGTTGCATTTAGCAGATAGATTGCTAGGTATTCCCGCACCATTTACCAAGTGAACTTTCATTTCCCCATTATCTGGGAAGACGTCCTTGATTTCCTACAAATATTGAATGTAGAACTTATTTGTGCATACCAGGCTCTGCCTTTGGGCTTTCTATTCTGTCCCAGAGACCCAGTACCAGAATATTTAAATCACTGTGTCGTTAAACACGTTTTAATATCTGATAGGGCCAGTTTCTGCGCATTGCACATTTTTTTTTTTTCCTTTCAGGAACGTGTTCAGGCCCGCGGCAGGGGGCGGGGTCGCGCCTCCTCCGTGGCTCTGGTTCCAGTGGAGCCTCACCGACGCGGAGATGGAAAGCCCGAGGCTGCTCCCGCCTCGAGGGACACGACAGAGCGGCGGTGCTGGCAGCCCCGCGGGCGCTAGCCGGTTCCACGGCGGCCCTGACCCGCGGGCTGGCCAGGTCCCCGCGCGCCGCCTCCTGCTGCTCCGGGGCCCCCAAGATGGCGGGCCCGGGAGGCGGCACGAGGAGGCCCGAGCGGCCTCACGGGGCCCGGGCCCGAGCCCGTTGGCGCCGAGGTCGGATCACGCTGGCGGCGGCGGCGGCGGCGACGGCGATGACTTCTTCCTGGTGTTGCTGGACCCGGCGGGTGGCGATGTGGAGACCACGGGCGCCGGCCAGGCCGCAGGGCCTGCATGGAGGGAGGAGGCCGAGTCGGTCCCACAGCTCCAGCAGGGTGAGAATGGCGCGAATCCCGCGGGCCGCCAGGCGCTAGGCCCCCGCTGCCTGTCCGCAGTCCCCGCCCCATCCCCGGCTGAAAACCCGATCCCCGCCCCAGGCCTGGGACCCGCCGCGGCCTTCACGGGCACCGTCACTATCCACAACCAAAACCTGCTGTTGCGCTTCGAGAACGGTGTCCTCACCCTGGCCACGCCCCCGCCGCCAGCCTGGGAGCCTGGGGTCGCGCCTGCCCCTCAGCCTGGGGGTCTGATGGCTCCGCAAGCGGGGGTCCCGCACGCCGCGCAGCCCAGCGACTGCCCGGAGCTGCCGCCCGACCTCCTGCTGGCGGAGCCGGCGGAACCGGCGCCCGCCCCCGCGCCTGAGGAGGAGGCAGAGGGCCGAGCCGCAGCCGAGAGTCCCCGCAGGCCGCTGGGCCCAGGCCCGGGCGTGGTGCTGTACCTGTGTCCCGAGGCGCAGTGCGGACAAACCTTCGCCAAGAAGCACCAGCTGAAGGTGCACCTGCTGACTCACAGCAGCAGCCAGGGCCAGCGGCCCTTCAAGTGCCCCCTGGGCGGCTGTGGCTGGACTTTCACCACCTCCTACAAGCTCAAGAGGCACCTGCAGTCGCACGACAAACTGCGGCCCTTTGGCTGCCCTGCGGAGGGCTGTGGCAAGAGCTTCACCACGGTGTATAACCTCAAGGCGCACATGAAGGGCCATGAGCAGGAGAACTCGTTCAAATGCGAGGTGTGCGAGGAGAGCTTCCCCACTCAGGCCAAACTCAGCGCCCACCAGCGCAGCCATTTCGAGCCTGAGAGGCCGTACCAGTGCGCGTTTTCTGGCTGCAAGAAGACGTTTATCACAGTGAGTGCCCTGTTTTCCCATAACCGTGCCCATTTCAGGGAACAGGAACTCTTTTCCTGCTCTTTTCCTGGCTGCAGCAAACAGTACGACAAGGCTTGTCGCCTGAAAATTCACCTGCGGAGCCACACCGGTGAGAGACCTTTCCTTTGTGACTTTGACGGCTGTGGCTGGAACTTCACCAGCATGTCCAAACTCTTAAGGCACAAAAGGAAGCACGAGGATGACCGGAGGTTCATGTGCCCTGTGGAAGGCTGTGGGAAATCTTTCACAAGGGCTGAGCATCTGAAAGGCCACAGCATAACCCACCTGGGCACAAAGCCTTTTGTGTGCCCTGTGGAAGGCTGCTGTGCCAGGTTCTCTGCTCGCAGTAGTCTCTACATTCACTCCAAGAAACACTTGCAGGACGTGGACACTTGGAAAAGCCGTTGCCCAGTCTCTACTTGTAATAAACTCTTCACATCCAAGCACAGCATGAAGACCCACATGACCAAAAGGCACAACCTCGGCCAGGATCTCTTAGCTCAGCTAGAAGCTGCGAATTCTCTTACGCCCAGCAGTGAACTTACCAGCCAGGGACAGAGTGATCTCAGTGATGCAGAGCTAGTGTCTCTCTTCTCTGATGTGCCTGGCAGTAGTTCTGCTGCAGTGTTGGACACAGCATTGGTGAACTCTGGAATCTTGACTATTGATGTGGCTTCTGTGAGTTCAACTCTGGCAGGGAGCCTCCCTGCTAATAATAATAATTCCTTAGGGCAGGCTGTGGACCCTCGGGCCTTGATGGCCACCAGTGACCTTCCTCAAAGTCTGGATACCTCTCTCTTTTTTGGAACGACAGCCTCTGGTTTTCAGCAGAGTCCCTTAGAAATGGATGATGTCCCAAGTCTAAGTGTGGGGCCATTGGCATCTCTGGGCTCTTTGGCTATGAAAAACTCAAGTCAAGAGCCCCAAGCTTTGACCCCCAGCAGTAAGCTAACAGTGGACACAGATGCTCTGACTCCTTCAAGCACCCTTTGTGAAAACAGTGTCTCAGAACTACTGCCGCCAACCAAAGCAGAATGGAATGTACATCCTGACTCTGACTTCTTTGGACAGGAGGAGGAAACCCAGTTTGGATTCTCCTCCAATGCAGCAGGAAACCATGGTTCTCAGAAAGAAACAGATCTTATCACAGTGACTGGCAGCTCATTTTTGGTATGAACTAACTATTAATTCCTTGCCACGTGGCTTATTCTTATGAATTACACTCAATTTTTAGGCTAGTCTGGACTAAATGTTTAAATTCAGTCATTCCTTATAGGTTTGAAAAACAGCAATGCCCTGGGCTGTAAGTTTGGAGATTTAAATTATGATCTTGACTCTGGAACTGTCAAGTTGTGTGACCCTGAGCAAGTTACTTAACCTATCTGAGCCTTAATTTCCTTATTTATAAAATGAGGTGGTTTGAATAGATTGTTTCTAAGGTCTTTTCAGCTCTGTAATTCCTTGATAATAAGCTTATTTCTTTGGAAAAAAAATTAGGACCTTTTTTAGTGATTGTGTTGCATGTGCTTTTTTTTCAAACGTACATAATAGTATAATGAACAGCCATGTGCTTAGCACCCAACCTCAACTATTATCCATTTGCAAACAGTTTTATCTAATCCCCACTCTAACCCTCATCAAGAATTATTTTGGAATAAATACCAGACTTTACATCATTTCAACCATAATTATTCTATATATAGTTCTATAAAGTACGGTCTCTTTTGGAAAAAATTACAATTCCATTATCATACTTAATGTTAACAGTAACTCCTTAATATCAATAAATATCCAGATTCCAATTGCAATTGTCTCATAAATGCTATTTATGTTAGTATTTTTAATATAAAATTCCAGTAACTCTCATAAGTGTCTTTTTCATCTGTGTTTCCCCTTTGTCTCTTTCTTTGCACTTTTATTTGTTGAAGAAATAGGTTGTTTCACATGTAGCATTTACCACAATCTTAAATTTTTGTGATTACATCCTTCTGGTGTTAAGTTCCTTTATCCTCTGTTTCCTTAATTTGGTAGGTGGATCTAGAGACTTGATCAGAATGGAAATATGATTTTGGGGGCAGGAATATTTCTTAGGTCATGTATTCTTTTTATAAGGTGATACATAATGTCTGGTTCTCTCTTTTTTGTGATACTTGCAGCTGCTGCTGATGAATGCATTTATTGGTGATTACCTGTGTTTCTGATATCATGGGTTGTTCTTATAGGATTAGTATTAGTGGAGGAGGAAATGCTGTTTAAGGCATTTATAAAAGTTTAATTGAAGTATTATTCAATGCCAGAATATTTTCTTAAATAGTGATAGAATTAACAAGAAAAAAGATAACAAAAAATATGTTGGCTATTCTCACCATTTATAATCCTGACCCTTTTTAATGAGGGTAGGATTTGTTTTTGTTGAAGTTGTCAGCCAGAATTTTGACATGAAACAAGCCCAGGGTCAAATTTGTGTGGGATAAGTGGCCTTGAATAAATTAGTCTCACTAAGCCTGAGTTTCCTAGCTGTCAAATGATCATAGCAATGCATACACATAGCTAACACACTTTAAACTTTTCTTCTTTTCCAGTTTTTAATACATAAGGAAAAGAATTATGTGCTTTGGCATATTTTGATGAATATATATATATATTTTTTAACCCTCTCAGGCCTTCCTGCTGTAAGGGAGAAATTGAGATAATTTAATCCTATTAATGTTTAGGCAATAAGTTTTGTTAGGGTTAGAGTGAGGTAGGATAGGGAATCTGTATTTTCTCCACTGAATAATCCCACCCCCTTCCAGGAATTTCTGTGGGGAAATGCCAGGAGTGGAGACATTGCTCACAGGTATACTGCAACTCTTTCCCTTAGATCAGTTTGTCACCTTCTTTGCTCTGCTTCCAAAGTCAGACTTTGCTGTGATTACGGAGCCTGCTGTTGCATGAAGCTCTGATAATGGAGCAGAGGTTTCCTCCTTTCTGTGGTCTGGAGAGCTCATTGTTTGCATTTTCTCAGAGTTGGAAGGATAGAATTAATCTGATTATTGTGTAAGCTGTCTGTCTTATATGAGTACAGCTTTTGAATTTTGTGGAACATCTTCACAACTGGTATCTTATTTGTTGTTCAGAACAACCCTGTGTAGTAGTTTTGGCAAAGTCTGTATTGTGACTGGTGACAGTTTAGCCAACTTATATTCCAAATGGGCTTTGGCTAGTGAATGACAGTTCTATACATAGCTTAAAACAAAGAAGAGAATTTATTTTCACCTCTCCTTTTCCACTCATCCAACTTCCATGATTCATTCCAGTGTCAAAACTAGCTGCTGTTTCGGACTTTAATTGATTTCTGTTACTTTCTGCTTAACCACTCCACTCCTTTGCATGTGCATGTGCATTCCAGTCTTTGCCATTCTTTTCTTTTTCTTATTTTTTAATGGATAGTTTTCCTGCCCCTGTTTTCTCATCTTAGATAATACTGTGTGTAACACACACACACACACACACACACACACACACATATATGATTCATGATAAACGAGATTATTTTCTACATTGTTCAGATGAGAAGTAGATTTCTGTTTCATTATTTTCATTTTTTAAAAGTTTTTACCACAGAGTTTGGCTAACTAATGCTCTCTTATTTGCTGTAGTGTACTAGTCCAGTAGTGTTTGCACGTGAATGTCTATGAATGACAGTTATTGTAGCACTTTGGCAGTGCACTAAAAATTTGCCACTTTGAAATGTTTCTGTACTGTGTGTGGGTATACACACATACACACATATATTTTTTTAAGTGGTTGTATTCGTTTAGTGAAAAAAGTAGGCATACTTTTGTAAATCAGAAATGTTCAGAATTTTATTGTCTACTCATTGAACAGTTTTCTCCCTTTGCTTTGAAATATTTGTATTTATAAAGTGCATTTCAAAAATATTGTCATTCATTAAGGTCTCTTAAATAGACCACTATTTTTCATGTCCAGAAGATACGTGTGTCAAGCATTGAAATGAATGCACAAGTAGCAAACATCAAATAAATTATTTAAACACCAAGAGAATTTAATACTGTGACTTTATTTTTTTAATCCCTTAAACCAACTTTCTCCCACTAAAAATCATAAAATATATTTTTTTCTTATTCATTGCTGGAATTTTCATAGGACAAATGTTATTTTCTAAAAAAATAAAAGCTTTTATTTGTCCATGGGCTCACAGAGTTTCACTGAACAAATTTGTTCAAATGATTTCTCTTTCAACACCATTTTCTAGAAAAATGGTGACCCACTTTATACTTTCAAGGTAAGAAGTCTAATTTTTGTTGGTGGTGACAAAGTTGCGAGTACTCCTTTTAAATAATGGCACATGTTTTAATTTAATCCTATTTATTTTCTTTTTCTCTTCAGTCTTTGGTTTATTAAAAAATCTTGCCAAAAATAAGTCTTGCCAAAAAATTAGTAAAATCTTGTCAATTAAAAACACAACAACTTGATGGCTTAAAAAGAAGTCTGCTTCTAGGGGTTCTGTTGATCATTTTGATTGTAAATTAAAATATATATTGGCATTGGCATTTTTAGAAATTAGTATAATTAATATAATGCTTGAGTAACGGGAGTAAAACATGGGTAGATTACGAAGTTAATTTGTCTTGGTGACCTAAACTCTTCATGTTCTTATCCAGGAAACATATAAGAAGGCAATTTGTCAGCTGGAGTCTCCATTGTATTTATGTCAAATTAACAAATACTTATTAAGCATCATTGTGCAAATACAACATAACATATTGAGGATTCTATGATAAGAATAATATGCAACTCTGACCTTTAAGGAGATAAGTTTTTTTGTTTTGTTTTAAGATTTTATTTATTTATTTGACACAGAGAGAGAGACAGCGAGAGAGGGAACACAAGCAGGGGGAGTGGGTGAGGGAGAAGCGGGCTCAAGCAAGGAGCCCGATGCGGGGCTCAATCCCAGGACCCTGGGATCATGACCTGAGCCGAAGGCAGACGCTTAACGACTGAGCCACCCAGGTGCCCCAAGGAGATCACAGTTGATAGGAGGAGAGAGAAAAACATTTATTAAAGAATTGGAGAACAGAAATGGGGTTAAGTTTAATTTGGTACCAAAATGAGAGATAAACACACACACACACCCCACACCCCCACTTCTCCCCACACACAATAAGAACAATGAGAAATTTATTCTGGGCAGGGGTGAAAACCTGTGAACATGTTTTAATAGAGAAGTCAGATCATGGAAATTATGTCTTAGAAAGATTAATGTAATGGAGATGTACAGTATGAATTATGTGGGAGAGACTGGAATAGGAGAATCAATGAAAAAACTTGTAGCAATTCAAGTGTAATATGATGAAGCATAAAGCCTGGACTAGAGTGATGTCAGTGGGAAGTGAAAGGAAGGAACCAAAACAAGAAGTTTTCAAATTGAGGAAAGAGTAATTCTTAGTGCCTCATTAGGGAGATAGATAATATAGATAGATGATAGATAGATGATAGGTGATAGATATAGATAGATAGGTGACAGAGACTGAGAGAAATCAGAAATGGTAACTCAGGTATCCTTGGGGACTGTAATAATCACATTTTTACTAACAGGGATGTAAGGAAGAGTTTTCAGAATTAAGTATGTAAAGATGGTGTTTAGTTAAATGCTAATTGATAAATCATAGGTATCCCTGCATAAGCTATCCATATTGTGGTTTATCCACTTTCTAGACAAAAACAGAGGGCTGCTTCCTCTTTCTTGGTTCCTTCAGGCATGCTCAGAACTATCTATATAGTTCTATTCTTTTTCCTTCCCTTTCAATGACCAGAATCCTCCTCATCTTGTCTTGAATGATCTAGATCTGCACTAATCAATATGGCAACTACTAGGGCGCCTGGGTGGCTCAGATGGTTAAGCGACTGCCTTCGGCTGAGGTCATGATCCCAGGGTCCTGGGATCGAGTCCCACATCGGGCTCCCTGCTCCTTGGGAACCTGCTTCTCCATCTGCTTCTCTCTCTCTCTCTCTCTCTCCCTCTCTCTCCGTCTCTCATGAATAAATAAATAAAATCTTAAAAAAATATTAAAAATATGGCAACTACTAGTCATATGTGGCTATTGAGCACTTAAAATGTGGCTACTATGAGAGACTGGATTTTTATTTTATTTATTTATTTATTTAAAGATTTTTATTTATTTGGCAGAGAGACACAGTGAGAGGGGGAACACAAGCAGGGGGAGTGGGTGAGGGAGAAGCAGGCTTCCCGCTGAGCAAGGAGCCCGATGCGGGGCTCGATCCCAGGACCTTGGGACCATGACCTGAGCCGAAGGCAGACGCTTAACTACTGAGCCACCCAGGCGCCCCTGAGAGACTGGATTTTTAATTTAAATTTAAATTTAAAAGCTGAAACAGTTTAAAATAGTTTCCTGTTAAGTATAATCTTATTGTTTTAGTAGGATTAATTTTCACTTTAACCAGTGACAATTTTGCATCTGAATTAAGATATGCTGTAAAATAACCAGATTTTGAAGGCTTAGTTTAAAAAATTAAAATATTTCATGAGTATGTGTGTACTGATTACATATTGAATAATATTTGAATTTATTCAGCTTTATTGAGGTATAATTGACAAAGTTGTAAGATATTTAAAATGTATGTTGTGGTGATATGTATACGTTGTGAAAGGATTCCCAC